TTAAACAGTACACACCTTCTTGTAGTTCAGAGGCCCATTCCATTGTATTGAATACATCAATTCTATGCACTAAGGTGTCTATTAAATGTTTACAAAACACTCCATCATCTAACAACATAATAATGAATTCTTTAAAAAACATTTGCATGCCAGGAAATTCATTAGCTGGATTAACATTATATCCACTAGTATAGTCTCGTTTAGTTATTCGTTGATGTAATAATTCTAACTTTGAAGCAGATAATTCTTTAATAGTTTTGTTTTTATAAACATTCTAAAAAAAAAAAACAAATAAATCAAAATATTGAATAAATTATATTTAGATAAAAATAAATTTAATATTGATAAATATGCGGTGTAAAAAAATAACCTTTGATTCTTCAAATGTTGAATTTATCAATTGAGCAACAAATAATTTAGCAAATTTACTCATATTAACAGAGTTGCTGTTTTCATTAAGCATTTTCTTGATATTTTCAAATTTCTTAGGATCTAGTTCATACTGATTTTCGTTTTGTTTCCAATTTTCTAATAAATCATAAAATGTATCTCTTTGGGTTTTGAAAGCATAAAACATTTTTAATGATGGAAAACAATCTTTGGCATCATGTTCACCATCAAATTTAACCATTTCTTTTGATATACTTGAATTTAAAGACTTTATATCATCATTTGTACTCTGAAAACAAAATAATTCTCAATATTTCTTTACATCTTATATCCAAGTATATTTTATTAGTATAATAAAGTTTTGCAATTTACTAACTAATGAATTAAATTTATTTTCATAAGTTTTAGCCAATTCTGGTGCATATGTGTTGATGACTTTCTGTTTTAAAATAAGATTAATAATTGGTTTTTCCAAATAAATTAAAATTGAAACTAATTGTTCTATAGTTTTTGCAGCAAAATAATGACAATCATCTGATGATTTGAAGTACATATTATTTGAACTAAAACTATCATTATTAGATTTTATTTCATGATTTTTTACTGTAAGAAGTGTAAACACATAACCTAATTCATGAAACAAATTACATAATATATTAGAATTTATCATAGCTGCATACAGATTTCCTAATATATCCAAGCTTCTTCGTTCTTTCTTCGTAGAATCTGAAACATTGAAAATAATATAACTACAAATTATTTAAATATTAATGAAAATTTATATTGATTGACTTTTAGTTTTGAAATTAAGTATATAACTTTTATAATAAGTATTTAACCATATTTATTTTTCTATTATAATTAAAAAACAGATTCAAATAAAAATAGTTATACAGGTTTTTTTTATATATATATAATCTTAAATTAAAAAAAAAAAAAAACTAGAAAAAAATATGTCATTGATTTATAAAAATAAAGTGGTAATGTTTAATTGCGAAATGTATAAGAAAGTTTTCAATTAACAATTCAATATCAATTAATAGCATTTTAAACAGATTCACATCTTATAAAATTGAAGTAACATAAAATTCTATTAAATAATTTTACAAGCTAGCATCTCACCACTTATTTTTGTTTTGTTCATTTTTGAAGTCACCGTACGTATTTGAACTGTCTTTTTGCCTTGGCTATTAGAACATTTTGTTGTTGATACTTTAGGTATTATTCGTTTCACCATCGGTGATTCAACTTCTGGCACATTAAACACATTGTTTATAACAGGCTCATTCTCATCTGGCTGATTTACAAACCTGTTAAAATTAATATATTTATAATTTTTATAATTATAATTTAGCTTTGTAATGAAATTAAATTGTATCATTTACTTACTGCATAGTCTTATTATGAATAAAATCAATCACATAAAATGTAAATTCTATTTTACCTACACCATGACGAATATTCTATAATACATAAATTATAAATTAATAAATCGTAAAGAAATATATTAAATAAATATGACATATATGGTAAATGGGAATAAGCGACATTTATGATCTAAGTCAAATGGTTACAATAGCATATATTAAATAAGAAAAAAATGGGTTTATTCAGATGTATATATGTAAAAATCAGCTATAACATTTATTTAACGAACAGTATTAATTTTCTATGTTTTGTCTGCTTTAAAAGAATTCTAAATAAAAATAAAAGAGTATTACAGAGAATGAAAAGACACAAGTATAATTTTTTGGGGTATATAAATAATGTTTATCAAAAATTGCATAAAGTGCATGGTTTTATACCTAAATTGAGTAGATACTTAATACTTCTAAATATATAAAAAGATTTAAGCATAACCAATATCAATAGAGGAACAAATTATTATCATATAAAAAACAAGTTTAAAAGTAAATTGATCTCTAGAGCAATTCAAATTCATGTAGTGGATAATATTTAAAATCTGGAAATAATAGCAAGATTCAATAACAGTTTGAATTCATTGAAAAATTAAAAATAATATTAGCAATCTGGCAACACCAACATACCAGTCAATTGATTTTGAACATGCCACAATAAAGCGTTTTTGTAAAAAAAAGTTTACAATATGACTAGTGAAAATGTGAAATGGCAACAAGTGAATAATCAAATTTAATTGACAATAGACACCCATTCTTTAATCAAAAATTGAAATATATAGTATTCAGAATTCTATGATTGGAAGACAAAAAATAAAAAAATTTTTAGTTCTGAATTTAAAACCTACACACAACAAAATCCTTCAAATATCCAAAGTTAAGTAGTTTCTTTTTAAAATTTAATAAATTCTGATTATGAAGTATAAGTTGTTTAGTAACAATGATGAAGAAGAACTAAAAAATTATCTTTTAACTAAAAAATTTTTTTTATGAGTAGAAATTATTTGAATGTACTTTATTTTGATGAACATATAATACATAATAATATTATATCATGTCATAATTAATAATAGTAATAATTCCAAAATATAATAGGGGATATATGTACTTGATAAATTATATAAAATAAACGAAAAAAATTCCAATTCTTATTTAAAAAAGATTATTATTTATCAGTAACAATAATTTAAAAAATATTAAAATCACAGCAAAATATTTTTTGATTCTTTAAAAATAAGGAATATGTCACTTTTGTATTTCTTTTTACAGTATAACCATCAATCCATCAATATATTAAATACATCAATCAAGTAAGACTTCTACAAGTATTAAATATAAACTTACACATTGTTCAAATGATTTAATTTTTTCCAAAATTTCATTTATATCAATGTTTTCTTCCAATACATTATTCATCAAACTTGCACATCGAACTTCAGATTTAGACATATACTTTTGCATGGTTGGTTTTATTTAACTAGAATTATATAATCCCAGTAAATCTAAAAAAAAATAATAATTAATGAATATGTCATAGTTATTAAACAAATATAAACAATGTTTTGAAATTATTATGCATACACATCCCCACATAAAGTACCTTAATTAACTGATATGACAATCCGCAGACTCCAGTGATCAGTATAGGGAATTTAGTGCTCTCGTAGCTCAATGCAGTACTAAATGTATTGCAACAGCTACCAATGACTTAACATTTATAGCATAGATAAGTCCTTCAAAATGAGAGTTGAATTAAAGTAACTGTAACAATTCAACCTCATAAAAACACTTTCTTCAAAAATCAAACAACAATATGTCAAGACATGTGGATTTTAGAGAAAAGTATATGGAGATATTAAAATGGATTTAGTTTTTGAAACATAAAAATATTTTTTCAATTCAGAGCAGTTTTACTATTAATTGAAAAAAATAGAAAAATATAAACTCAGTCTCAGTATAGTAGAACTGTAACAAATAAAATGTAGAGAATAAGGGACCAAAGTTATAAGGATACTTTTTTTCTATGCTATGAATAAATGTATTACAAAATGTCAATTTAATACCAGCTTAAAAAATTTCAATACAAACAAAAGAATAGTTTTTTCAACAATTTAGTCCAAGTAGTTCAATATAATATTTTCAAATGAAAAAGCGTAAGACATAGAAGAAAAAATATGATTTTTATAATAATTTATAAAGCATTTTAGATAATATATATATATATATATAAAGATAATAGCAAGATAAAAATCATACTAAAAGGCATGAATGCAGATAGGAAAAGAATATTAATTTAAACCAACAATTGGTAACCAGTCTTCACAAAAGTGAGTATTAGTGAAATCTGAGATTAGTAAATTTAGGCACAAGAAAAAACTTAATTTTATTTTACTCATGAAAGTATTTAATATAAACATTTACATGGAAATTGTCAGATGGTCTATATGTAAATCAGATTGAACGTATTATGTTGTTATATTAGATTTTAAAATGGCATAAGAAATAATTAATCTTCTAGAATACACAGATAATATGGTTAATTGGGAAGGGACTATGAAAACACTAAGAAAAGTCAGTGCACAAAACTTACACATACAAGTAAGCATCTGTATTAGTTCAGAATAAATATTATTAATTTGTATGAGAGAAGATGGAAGGCAAACTAAAGAATCTTTTTTGAATGGGATAACACGTGTTAAGATTTAGACGAAAGAACGAGTTTGACAGAGAAAATTATACAGAGATATTAATTTATGCAAAGAGCTGTATATAATTAATATATTTGACATCGAAAACTTACGAAAACGAACAAATTTTAACCACTGCTAGTAGAGATTCATAGTAAGTAGTTTTTAAAGTTGGTAAATCTTCGTCGGCGGGAATGAAATAGTGAATAGCGATGGAAGACAATGTTATAAGTTATAACGTACGTCGATTAATTACATTACAATACAGATAACTTAATAATATTGTATTGTATTGACATGCTTATGATGATGATGATAATAATAATAATAATAATATTTTATTCTAGAGGCGGCTCATGATAAATAACAATGATAACAAAATAAATTTACCGCCAAAACGACGCAAGCTACGGCAGTCCTTTGTTTCTGCACACGTTTATCAATACGGATTACAGAATCGCTATCAGTGGAAATTAGTGACGTAGCCATGATAAAGTAACATTGTTTAGGTTCGCCGTACCATCATCGACAACTTCATGACTAGTTCATGTGTTTCGAGCGCGCGAGCGATACATTCCATTATTTTTATTGTTCTGTCGATAAAATTTGTATGCAACAGCGTCGGAGTCGTCGGACCGTCCGAAGAATTATTCGCGGTGCTCACCAACTCCTACAAGTGAAAACAGTCATTGAAACATTATCTAAATAAGATAATACAAGACCGTCACGATCTAGGCATTCTACCGATTCCATCTTCACGGGACCAAATCGTGTTACTTACCAAGTACCAAAATTATTTCTTCGTTAAAACGCGATTTTCGGCGTCCTTATAGCTCTCCTAGCCGTCGTCGTGTGTCTGGTTCTAGCAGCATGGAAAGTTTTACTACGAGCGATTTGGAGGATTCGGATTCCCGTGTTATTTCACTTGAACCTAATACGGATAATGGTACTTGAATGACTACTTAAAATAATTTTTTAAATTTATTATTTATTTATTTATATTTATTACGTAATTTTCAGATTCCAATGAAGACATTGATTTGTCTGTTAACAGTATTTGGCAATGTATGAAAAGAATAGAAACAAATTTGGACTTTTTATCAAAAGTATTTAATGTAGAACAATCTCCTGAAGTTAAACAGACAAAAATGGACGATGATGAATTTTTATTTTTATTTCCATTGACAGAAATAGATGATGTTGTTGACCTTGAATCAAGACTATTAGATGATTGTTCAAGTTTTAAAAAAAAATTTGTAAGTTATTTTATATTTTTTTTTTCATTTTTATAGTTGTTTTATAATATAAACTCCTCATAATGTTGGCTAAAGATAACGCAAAGCGTCACAACTATTTGAAATACTTTTATTTTTTTTCACTAACACTGTAAATTAATATTTCTAATTTTTTTTTATATTTGAGTTTACCTTTTTCTATTTTTATTTTAAATTTTTAGTGATACTGAAGTTTTATTGTAAATTATTCAATAAACAAAAAATATAACTTAATTTGTTTTTCTTAATAAGATAGGTATGTTTATATCATAGTTGTTTCATAGTCAATATTTGAAATAACTAACATTGTTTATATTGAATTAAAACCTACCAAAAAATTGAAGAAAAAAAAATAAGCCAACTAAATTAGGTACTTTTCTGTTATCCCTACTACCATGCCGATGCCGCGACTACCGGACTACAGTTCGCTCGATTACCTGTTTCCGTTGTTGCTGACAGTTGTATTATTTTAAAATAATTATGAATCTGTGGAATTTACCAATAATTTTGATGACTTTGTTTTATATTATAATAACTTTTAGACTTTTGCAACTGCAACTGTGATAATTTATTTTTATTTATTTAATATTTTATGTTGACGTTTTTTTGATAATTTTAATGACTTTGTTTCATATTATAATAACTTTTAGAATTTTGTAACTGTAACTGATAATTTATTTATTTTTATTTAATATCGTAATTTGACGTTTTGTGATAAATTTGAAGTTTTTATGTTTTATACTATAACTCTCCACTACTGTGATAATTTATTTGATTACTTATAATAAACGTTTTACTAATATACATTAAAATATAAATAGCAATTCATGACGTGTATTATGTATTAAAATACAGAATATCTGAATAGTACTATAGTAGTCGAGATAACAGAATTGAGAGTCGCGGTAATAGGGATAACAAAAAAGTACCCTAAATTAATATTATTTTAAATATTAAATTATATTGTATATAAGCATTTATTTTAATAAAAAATGTTTGTTGTTTACAGATTTCATATATTACACCTGAATGTAAACTTAGTTGTCTTTGTATGTCAAATCTAAAACACTTTGTTAGAACACTTTTACGTAGATTGTTTACGTATAGTTTAGCAAGCCACTATTCTTGGCGTGGATTTCGAGGAAATTTTCAAATTGGAAATTTAAGAGTTGTCAAAGTTATTTTTGGTAAGTACCTTGGTGTTTTATGATTAGGAGTCATTACCTAATTTCATGTTAAAAAAATTACTCTTTTTAAATATATTAATTATTATTTTTAAATACATCCTTAGATATAACACAAAGCAAATTCAAAAATGTTTCAAAGCAGTATGTTAATTTACTAATCAAGGAATGGATCAGATATGCCAAACAACGGCGTAGTCAACTGAAAAAATTAAATTATTCCTAAACTCTTACTACTAAATACTACTTAATTATTTTTTAAATACTACATTTTCCTGAATAATTATTTAAAATAATTTAGATAATAATAAGTTTTAAATGAAATAAGTGGATTAATTTACTAATACTATTGTAGTGTAGGTAAATAAATTAGAACAATCATTAAATGTCTGCCATGAACTTTGTTTACTTATTAACCTATATATGTATATGTATATATAACCACAATTTTTATTAGTGATCTACAAACATGTGTTTTTTTTTTTTAAACTAAAACTTAATGATTGTCTCTAATTTAAATTATTGATAACTTTTTATATTAAATAATTGAATTAGTCTTTGAATTATTGAAAAATGTTAATTAATAATATTTTATTATTATGATAAACAAATAATATAAAATGTATCTTGATTACTTATGATTGAACTACTTTTAAGACTTTAAGTTATGATTTATAATTATTGTGTATTTTTTTTTTTTTATGATAATACATTCTTATTTTAAAAAGAGTCAAATTTATGTATAGTATTAAATGACTAATTTTTTAATAATAATAATAATAAGTAATAACTATTATCAATAAAGTGTTAGCTATTTACAGCCACTATTAAAATAAGACATGTGAACTATTATATTATGTTAAGAACTATCCCTCGATTGTCAATCACAGTTATTAATTGTATTTAATGACCTAGTTATCCCATAAAGCTTACAAAAACATTTTACTTCATTATGAAGTTACTCACTTTATTGTTTTAATATTATAAACATTTAATAATCTAATTCTGATGAGTTTAAAAATTAAATTTACCAATGTATTAAAGTAATTTTTATGATAACTCCGTGACCAATTTAAATATATTTACAGTAAATGTAATCCGATTATAAGGATAATTGGTATAATTAGTATAAGATTGTTGATTTTGGTAGAAAACATTGTTGAGATTGAATCTCCATAAGCTGTTCATTTTTATGTAGTTACAGTTTAAATATGATTCATTTATTTTTTATAATTATAAAGTATCAGTGTTTAACTAAAACTATTTTATTATAAATTTTGAACAGTTTCAATTTTTTTAAATTGCTTATAAAATTTGATCAACTGTTTTTTTTCTGAATACTAAAAAAATATGAAGATATTTAAGTAATAAAAATAACATTATATTGCATGCATAATATGTAATAATTTTTTTTTTCGATTTATTAATATCATAATATTATAAATATTCAATAAAAAAATTATACAAAAATATAGATAATTTGAAATTTTTATTTATAATTCTTAATTAAATACATAAAAATAAATTTAAATCTAACGTTATCACTCAGTAATGAATTATCAGGGAAGAGAAAAAGTACCATTTCAAAAATAAAGATTTCAAGTGATGATAATAATGACCATCATTGAGTATTTACTAATCTAATGATCAATGACTACACTTTGAGACATGCTTTATGTATATGACATATGTTTTAAAATTAAAATTAAACTATTTTATTTAAGTTTAATGGTTATTGATATTTTAAAAACAGTTTTAAAGCTCCAGAAATTTAATAGATTGGTTATACTAAAAATTATAATATTAAACAATACTCTTAACACATTCATTTACTTTTTTGAAACAAAATTGAAATAAAATAATCGTTTAGAATGTAATTTATAGTCAAATTTTAAAATAAAAATAATTAAAACAATATTTTATATTTTAATTTTAATTAAAAAACATTTATTATTATTGTTAGTCAGCTATGGCAATTGCGCATTAGCACTTACTTATTTTTCTCATTTTTTGATTATCGTCGTTATTTCATTTATACGTTTTATATGTTCTGTTGTTTTTGTCCGTTTGTTGAACTACATCTATGTGATATACATGTTATATTATTACAAGAAAAGCTTCCTGTTAAACATTTAACAAATTTCTTCCTACTAATTTCCCTTGCCATTTGCTATGATCGACACTGATATTCCTATACTACTGACTGGTAACTACGGTTTGGCTACTCTAATTTTTATATTTTATATTATTCTTATTATTCTTAGTCTTAGTAAAGAGTGGTCATTTTTACCAGTAATAGGGCAACATTGACACTTCGTGTTTCTTGGTCCAGCGCATTAGACATTGCACGTGGTTTATTGTTGGCTGCATAATCTTGGTGTATGTATTGATATTGTTATTTGTGGCAAGTAGGTAAGTGTTTTTCTTTGGTTATTGTATGATCTGCAGCTCACAAGTAATTTTTTATATATATTTATACAAGTACATCAAAGAACTTATATTATTGTTATTATTATATGAAGCCTATGAGGCTTTATATTTATTTTTATAATTCAAATAAGCTGGCTGCTGCCTATAACTATTATTATCACTGACTTCTAAAGCATATATATAATATATTATATAATTGTCATTTATTGGACTTTCTTTTTTTTTTAGTCATTATTTATTTTTTTTTATTTATTATTTCCTTTTTTTTTTGTTATTTGTATTATCAATTGAATATATTGCTAACCAGGCAGTTTATTACTAGGTATTATTATTATTAATTATTATTATTATTATTATTGTTATTATTATATAATGACATTATGTCATTATCTAGTAATATTGAATATAAGAAAACATTATTTTCAATTAATTTTTCAAATTTAATCTAATGGTAATGGTTTGTAATTTAAAACTGACTTTTCTATTAAAAAAAGAAAAATTGAGTTTTGTATTTATATTGTGATTTATTATAAAAAAAGGATTTTTATATTAAATTGAATTTCAAATTAACATATTGAATATAACAGAACATGATTTTAAATTTACATCTTATTCTGAATCTTTTTTCTTTTATATTTAAAATAAATTTACAATCTGTACCTTGGCACAATAAGTAAATGCAATAAAGGAAAAACATAACACAGTATTAAACATATCTAACCTAACATAAAGAAAGAAAATAGTATAATAAGCTAAAATATACATGAATCGTTTGTGGAAAGAAGCCACCCAATAGAGACACACTTTCATTTGGAATTATTATTAAAAATTGTATTTTTTAAATGATAGTTTATCTATCAAGCAAGTCACGACACCATTTTTGTTGTAACCTTCTTGCAGGGTTAACGGGGATTGATGGAGTAAAAAGATTTCGATCAAGCGAGTTGGGATGAGACACCAAGCGAAGGTGGAAACGTTTGTAGAACAATTTAGCTTCATCATAAACTAGACGCATTTTTAAATCAAAATGGTTAGTAAAATTATCAACGTATGGAGGGGAATTTAATAATTTACATAAAGCAATATATTGGACTGATTGGATGTTATATATATTAGATTTTTTTACATTTCCCCAAAGTTAGCCCAAGTTTCCCCAAGGCCGTAAGTTCACAAAGGTTTAAGAAGGGATTTATAAATAATTAGTTTAGTGTCGACATCTGTATGTTTGTTTTTAATAATGAGGTTTTTTAGTAGACGTAAATATAAATTTAGGATTGGTCTCATGGACTTGATATGCTGGCACCAAGTCAACATTTTATCGAGGATAGGACCAAGATATTTAGTGTTTGGGGCACTTGGCATTTGGGTGCCATAAATATCAAGACATCAAGGCAGGGTACAAGTCTGAGCGAAAACGTGGTGTAAAAAAAATTAGAATACTGTAAAAAGTTTAATGACCTAATAGTTCATGGTATACAATCTCAGTTTGACAGAAGCCAATCTAATCTCATGTTTAGGTCAGCTACAAAATTGGATTCTATTGCAGGCGAATTTGGTCAACTTAAGAATACTTCTATGAGCTGGATGTGATATGTATCAAACTTCATATGTGTGCCTGTTCAAATTCAATCACACCTTTATCGTATGATATATTTCTTGTGTTTATGGAAAGCATTGAGGTGTGCATTGACTATTTCAGCCACTAATTCAGTGTCAACAAAACTAGATATTTGTAAGTTTAATTCTAAGTATTCATTGATATAAATCTTGTTGTATAGTATTACAATTTTTGTTTTCAGGACTGTTTCCTTAATACAACGGGATGTCTATTTATCATGTTATTGTGGAAAATATATGGCCAGAAAATGTTTGAAAATGAAGAAGATTATTTAACTTTAAAACTAGTTATATAAGTATTAGGTGATTTTATTACATAATGTTGAGTATTAAGATTTCCATAAGATTATGTATAGAACATTGAATATTCTTTGATTCTTTTTGAAACTAAAACCAAAAATTGTTATAACTTTTAATCTAAATTCTATTCAATGTTCAATTTGTTTATTTATCAGAATATTATAATTATAAAACTAAATCTTAATAAAAACTCAATATTTATTGAATCTTTTGAAACCAAACCAAAATATTCTTCTTGTTTTGTTTAAAGAAAAGTTAACTTCAAGTTCACTATGTTTATTTTAGATTTTTATAATTAAAACAATTTTAATCATGATATATTGCAAATACATTTCACGTTAAAATCTTAATAAAACTCAATATTCATTGAATCTTTTGAAACCAAAACCAAAATATTCTTCTTTTTTCTGTTTAAAAAGTTAACTTCAAGTTCACTATGTTTATTTTGATTTTTATAGTTAAAACCAATTTTAATGCATTAAATTGCGGCAAAGATTTTCAACACTGAAACTTTAATAAAACTCAATATTATTTTATCTTTTGAAACCAACCAAAATATTCTTCTTGATTTTCTGTTTAAAGATAAGTTAACTTCAAGTTCACTATGTTTATTTTAGATTTTTATAATTAAAAACAATTTTAATGCATGATATTGCACAAATACATTTTCAACGTTAAAATCTTAATAAAAACTCAATATTCATTGAATCTTTTGAAACCAAAACCAAAATACTCTTCTTGTTTTCTGTTTAAGAAAAGTTAACTTCAAGTTCACTATGTTTATTTTAGATTTTTATATTAAAATCCCCATTTTAATGCATAAATTGCACGGCAAATAGATTTTCAACACTGAAACTTTAATAAAACACTCAATATTTTGAATCTTTTGAAACCAAACCAAAATATTCTTCTTGATTTTCTGTTTATAGATAAGTTAACTTCAAGTTCACTATGTTTATTTTAGATTTTTATAATTAAAAAAATTTTAATGCATGATTGCACAGAAAATACATTTTCAACGTTAAATCTTAATAAAAACTCAATATTCATTGAATCTTTTGAAACCAAACCAAACTCTTCTTTTTCTGTTTAAAGAAAGTTAACTTCAATTCACTATGTTT